GGTGGTGGTGCTGTTCAATACTTCTTATGTCGATAATTCATAACTTACGGCTCAAAGGATACAATGCATTTCAAATTGAATGTGGAATTAAATAATATAAGCGAATGGTACAGCCAGAATTGTGTACATATATAAGGTACATTTAGACAAAGTTATTCAAAGTAAATGCATTTTATTGTCATTATTCAAATAAATCGTCAACATTTAAAAATTTTCATTAATCTTGACTTATCTGACACTTTTGCCTACCGCCCTTGGTACGACTTGATTTCATGTTTAAGATGTATTTATAGAATGTTGTTGTTTTTAAATAAGATGTCCTAAGTTAACTTACTTTAAATTATTCAAATAACTAATATTCATTTTGGAGTGAATATACAACTGCAGAAGAGACAAGTGTCTGATTTCTCTGTATATAACTTCTATAGCCATTGAATGACTGCCAACATGGCAGTTTTGTACAATTGTAATACATATGATATTTGTGTTGTAGAGATCTATAATGTACGTCTTCTAACATGGCTGGCCCATTTCCACCAATCAGTGTTATAATCAACATATAGGTTGGATTGAAAATTTGTCATTTGGAGCGGACATTGGAATGCTAAGAACTGTCTGGAACAGTATCAGTCGCAAGATCGATAGCGAAATAAACATATGACAAAAATTGGCAGGAATACACTTGACTTTGATAACAGCCATGTTAGAAGCCAGGCTGTTATAGACCTTGCGCTATGTGAATTCAAAATCCTGTGTAGATCACTTGTCATTCTAGAACCTATATGTAACACATTCTACTCCATGGGCAGTATACATGACTATTGGTGTTAACTCATTAATAAAAATTTCACATGTTATTTCTGTAGGACGGCCGTTTGTGGTAGAATATTTAAATCCTCACCGTTCACTCTTGCCTCAGAGGGTGTTGACACAGCTACAAAAGGTCCGTAAGGTCAACCATCCTGACAAGCGTGCATCTCAATTCTCACTTTGTACACTATAACTTATATGATTGTCACTTCAAGCAAATATCTAACTCATTATACATCATGAATTTGTGAAAATAGTTCTGGTTGCTAAGCAAGCTAAAATGTCATGTAATGTGAACGCTGACATTTGCATGGACCTTATGCACTTCATGGTGAAACCAACAGGTCATTAACATAGTCCCTGTTTGTATTTATAGGCATGAAATATCACATGACTATTGTGGTGATAACAATAATAATATCGGCAGTCATGTATGAGATATGGCTCTGCCAATTTTGATGGTTGCCAGGTCAGCCATTTTGGATTTGATGGTGACAAAAAACATGACTAACTGTGGGTCCATAAATTTGTAGCTCTTCTTGTGTCCGTCTTTAGAGTTTTGCCATAATTATTTTTTTTTTCAATATTTTAGGATATCAATGACAGTACAAAAGATATCGCAGTTAGGGATCTTCAGATTGTTGATAAGTGAGTAATCATTTTATATAATTTCAACATTTATAAAATACTGAAGTATGTCCAAAATAATAGAATTGTTTTGAAGTGTATGCATGTTTTCACCAAAATGAAACCTACCGGTACCCATGGTATGTCAATTTATGTGTTTAGTCTACAATAAACACTGAAGTTAGAAACTATCACAAAAAGAAAAAAACTTTTCAAAATGTCTGGTTGTCATGTAGCTCCATATCTTCTTCCACAAAATAAATCTGCATAATGTTTTTTTTTCAAAACCTGTGCTAATATGAAATTATATATTTTGACCAAAATTAAAAAAGACATTGCAGAAAAATATATAAAAATGTACAAAATGCTGTATGAAATTATAGCATGCAAGACTCTTTTCACTCCAAATTTCACCCTTTAAATTTAGAGCAAATAGACATAATTTCTCTTGAATTACACGTCTTGAATTTCAAAAACATGGAAATAGACAATAACAGTTGACTTTGCTGTTCAAAGGATTAGGCACCTGTCAGTCACAAACTGGTTATCACATTGATGTTTACCTGGTGAGGTGTCATTTTTTTCACTAGTATAGCATTCATACATCCAATACTCCCATTACCTGGTATGGTAATTCAATGAATGATAATAAGAATTATGTTACTTCATGCAGAGAAGAAATTGGAAAGCTAAAAGAAGGAGAATTGAGCAAAACAAAATCTTACAGCGCATTGATATGGATTGACAAAAAAATAACACCAGAAGATATCAGCTTCCTGCAAAACATCAAGGTGAGGCTCTTCTGTTAAATGTCTGCCCCCCCTCTTGATACTTTTAAGCATGTTCATGCAATCCAGTTAAAATAATATTCTTTGTATTTTTTTTAAATTTATTCTTCATTCAATTAAATATGTATTTAATTACTATTTTTTCAATAATTATTGAATTTATTATTTACTGTTTTTTTGGTAAAATCATGAAACCCACAAAGTTACAGTAACACATAGTAAAATAATGTATACAAAATTATAAAATAAGATTTGTTCAGGCTTCTGGGAATTCTCACATATAATAACTACTTGTGTGTAAATTACTGCTATTAACCTTCTGAGGGCGCTATTTCTTGCTTTCAACAAATTGTACATTGTTTCATTTTGTCAAATTATTGAGCTTACATTACTCATACATACACACATACAACTTAAAGCGAATTCCATATGTAAGAGAAAATTACATACTGCCTACTTGCCAAACTTGCAGCATTCAGTGTCGGGAATAGTGTCCTAGTCGAAGGGAATGTGAAAAACTGTCGGCCCCGTAAGCTGTTTCTGTCCTCAGTGCTAATAGTGGATTACTGTTGAATGACTGGGCTTACCCCAATTCAGAGCCTGTCAATACGAGTTAGTCCCATAATGTTTATTCTTGAAATAAACAAAAATAAATGAATGAATAAATAAATAAATTCTTTTCAGAATGTTGCCAGCTGTTGCTAGGAGCATTAGTTGCAAAGTGTTAATATTGGCTGTGAAATAATTGTATTAAAGCTTTTTCATGACACTTTCATTCACTGTTGTTTTGAAGATTTATACAGGAATGTCTAGGGTACATATGCCATGGTATGAAATTGAACTAGTTGTATATTACATATGTTTTTATGAACTCTGTACGAGAATGAAATTATTTACTGTTTTCTTGCTAGGATTTGAAGCTAGAACAAAAGACACCCATCAGAGTATTACACAGGAGGCCGTTGGCTGTACGTGTGCGATCTGTCCACACCATGTCTGCCGAGTTCATTGATGAACAGCATTTCAGGTTAAAATTATGCACACAGGCTGGAACGTATCCTTTTACACACTCATTTTGATCAAGATTGGTGATTGTTTGGGGTTTTTTTGAATTAAAGTAAAACAGAGGCATGATTTGATTGATTGTGTTGGTTATTTGCATATGAGACTTATGAAAATGAAGAACTTCATAACATGTAGTTAGATAATTCCTCTGTCGCTTGTTTTTTACCGTACACAGTGACTGGTTGACAAGAACCGGTCATTTGCACCCAAAGATAAAATAAAGGCATATTCCACTGCCTCCAGTATTAAATATACATATATGTTTTCATTTATAATAAAACAACTTATGGGAAATGTTATCGCATCAGATCGCGAGCCAGTGTTGATCAGTTAGCGACAAACATTTGCATGCTGGTTGGCAAAAATGTAAATATTTGACGTCACAATGTGATATCCTATTTGTGGTATCTGCATTATTAATCTTAACTCACTTATTAAGTTACATTAAAGAGTTTGTCCATGGTGATTTTGGTAGAACACAACCCAGTCTTGGCACTCTGATGAAAGCAAACACAGATATCTTAGAGTTGGATGTAGAGGTCAGTGATATGTGTCTTTCAAACAAACTTGTATATTTAATACTGACCGTGATATTGTAGCAAGTTGATGTAGGACATAATAAAATGGAGGAACCCAAATCATTAAATTTACATTAAGATTATATCTTATAATGTGTTTAATTGGGTTTGAGTGTATCCATTCTCCCAAAGCTGGATCCACGATACAGAATTTTGTGGTTAATACAATAAATTAATTTAATTCCTGTTCGTTTTTGTTTTTCAGTCTGTGAATGTGGATTGGCCAAGACAGCTGGAAACATAAGCAATAAACATATGACAATTTGTGTATTTTATTTGAACTGTATTTGATTTTATTGCTCATAAAAATAAAATAGTGAGAAACAAATTCTTAAACTGTCGCTTGTATTTTTTTTAGTTGAAGTCCGAAAACCGGGACTTATAATTCGGTCTCTGTCCATCCGTCCGTCCACCCGGAGTCATATTTCAGAATCCTTTGGGCCGATTCCGTTCATTCTTTGCATGTGCCTAGTACTTTATGTGGGACATATGCACATGCAGTGGTTTAGTGATTCGATTCAAAATGGCTGACTGGCAGCCATCTTGTTTTTTGAAAATGCTGTATTTTGGACATGCTTTGTCAGTTTTCATTCAAACTTGGTACATAGATTATACATGTTAGGATACATGTCCATGACAATTTCTTTCGCAATTGGATCAAAGATGGCCAACTGGCAGGCATGTTGTTTTTTTTTTTAAATGTTGTATTTTGGACATGCTTTGTCAGTTTTCATTCAAATTTGGCACATACTTTATACATGTTAGGATACATGTCCATGACAATTTGTTTCAAAATCGAATCAAGGACAGCCATCTGACTTTTTGGCCTTACTACTATATTTCCAAGATTTATGTACCATTTTCATTTGTATTTGGCACATACATCATACATGTCACTTTGTTTCATAATCAGATCAAAGATGGCCGAATAACAGCTGTTTTTATTTTTGGCCATATTACTATATCTCTGTCACCCATGTATCATTTTCATTGATATTTAGCATGTCATAAATGGATACATGTATATGTCAATTCAATTTGCAATTTGATCAAATTTGGCCGACTGGTGGCCATCTTGTTTGTTTAAACTTGTGATAACTTGGACATGCCTTCACTTGTGATCTATGTTATTCTTTGCTATGTCTTAAATCGAAGGAGTTGCACGCAACACGTATTAGAATTTGATGTAAATAAACAATACGTTGTATACGCTACTTGGGACTCAAGTTTCAAGGACATGCTCGCGACAACCCCTCCACTTTAATATGACTAGCACAAAGAGAACTTTCAAAAATTTAACGAGGACTGTCATTTTCAATGACTTGTTTTTTATAAATCCTGTCATAAAAGATTTGTCAGATGTTGGTTCTAAAATATTGCTACAAATACATCATTTGTAAAGCCCCTTCCCAATCCCCCCCCCCTGATAAGGAAAAATATAACATTGTTATATTCACCATAGAAGGGAGCATGTATTGATTCTTTATTTTGAGTGTGCTCACTGTCATACTTACTGTCTGATTAAGGACTTCCATATCTGACATAATTTTCAGAAATTATATGTAATCAATAAAAATAAATATATGTGGATTTTTCTATGAGCGTATTTCTAGATATGAAAATTTAGTTTATTATTTTTATTATGTTTCTGGAAGAAGTGGATTACAAATCTCAACCTTTTAATATAAAGTATTTGTGACACAAAAATGAGAATACATTTAGAATAACTGAGAAGCACCTGGAGTAATTGAATGTTATACTACTACTATATGGTATAATAATTAGCTTGATTCAAAATTTATTTATTAAAACGCAAAATGGAAATGTGTCTTTCAAATATGTTTCCAAAATAACACACTTGGTCATGTAACAAGGTCAAGGCAGATACATCATTCACTGCAATTTGAACTTCAGATCAATTGATTCCATCACCATGGCAGACAAGGTTTTACCACTGCCAAAAAGTGTAAGGTCTGGCAACAAATTTTCATGTAGAAATTTTGTTTAGTCCCTGTTTGGACAAGGTCCTAAAAACAAATACTCGTGGATTGACCTCTGTGTCTGCCTGGAACAAGCACATTTAAATTTACACATACCGTAAAATCTGTATTAGAAGCCGCATTTTTAATAGAAGTCGCACGCATGCTTTTTGAATAATTGAGAATCAAAAATTCATCATTTCTCAGAAGTGTGGATGCTCAAATAGAAGCTGCATCCCCTCTGTTGCATTGTACTATTTTAATAGAAGCTGCGGTTTCTAATACAGATTTTACAGTACTGGTATATCACACATATGGCCAACAAGATGGCTGAATGGCAGGAATTGTTGTGCTGAAAAGCAAGCATTTTTGCCATTCGAAACCAGATCTTCGTTGTGTATTGATTGATTTCATTCTAACTTGGTACATACATTTGGTATTATGGAATCAATCAAACTTACGGTACTTGTGTCTATACTGAGGCATTCTCAACAAAATCAATCCTCATTATCACTAGAGTATTTAATATTATACTGATTATACATAATTATGAAGGCATCTTTTTTTGTAAAAAGAAATCTTTTTTTTTCTGGTATCAATAAATAGTCATCACACCTATTTAAAAAGTTAAATTTGGCTTGCCTCTCTTCAAAAATCAAATTCACACAATTCAAAGTGTTGCGCCACCAGTGTTGGGAATTTAAGTATATTGTCACGTTTTGCGTTTTCAATCAATCTTTATTAAAGGGGTGGTGGACGTTGCGCCGCGTCCTGTTTAATAACAGCGACGTGTATAACGCGTGTAAATACTACAGCCAAAACAAAGTCAGCTTGGACATTCATTTCGCGAATGAAAGAACAAAATAAACGCAATCAAAGGCGCCGACCACGCGCGTTGGAAATAAATAGAACGCGTTGCGACGAGAAATATCACCTGCATCTTTCACTCACGCAAACGCACACACATGCTATTTCCGTGTATTGAATACGTTAGCAACGGAAGGGACAAGTTTAAATCATCTTTGTATTAACACAACTTTAAAACAACAGTCTCACACTGAATATATGTTTATCAATTATTAAACTAAACATTCAATGAAGCAGACTGCGACGGTTAAGACGAAAAGACAAGACTAAGACGAAAAACATGTGACAGTACGATTATGCTCGTCTACTACACGCCCGGGAACTACACGTTCAAGTATCCAACTTCCCAATACAAAACATGATTAGTATCAGCAAAAAATTCTAGTATTGCCTGGATAATTGTGTATTATTAGTTGACATCATCC